TGCTGGGTGACTCTGTGGCTCTCTGGATGAAGTTGGCTTGCAGTTTCCCAGACCTCTGCACTATAAGCCCAAGGCACTGAGGTCCTCGGGCTGTTCAGTGGCCTTGGCCCCTCCTTCTAGGGATAAGAGGTCATCTACTCTTCCGCATTAGTCAAGTTGCTGCATCTTCCCATTACTCTCTTAAGTGGAAAGCAGTTATTGGGAAATTGAGGAACTAGGTCAGGGGACACTGGCTTGGTCTCCTTCCCTGGTCTGGGATGGAGGCTGCTGGGGCTGCTGGGTCTTTGGCACAGTCCATTGCTCTTGGTGGCTGGGCACAGCTCCTGACCTCACTGAGGAACATATAATGCTCCTTTGGGAGTAAGCTGCTTGCAGCAAAAGCCTCTGTGTCCTCCTTGAGCCTTGCTTTGGAATCAAAGCCGTGGAGAGACACACACTGACTCCTTTGAGCCCTCTCCCTTTTGAGGTCTGTTGTGAGGGGCCCAGACCTGACCCCTGCTTCCTGAGAGGCTTTGGGCTTCCTGCCCAGATCCTTGGTCCCTCAGGACAGAGGCACACATCAGGCCTGTTCCTGCTCACCCTTCATCGTCCATTTGTCTCACTCTTGACTGAAGCAGAACTTTTGATGTGATAGCTTCCATTTGAAGTCACAGCTGAAAACACTACCCCTTGGGTGCATCGAGGGAGAAGGTTCACTTAGTTTCTTTTGGTGATGGCGGGGGAGAGGGCATTGTCTAGCGTTAGCAGGAAAGAGACCTGAATTGCCATGCCACATGTAACTCCATGCCCTTGGGCGCACTACTAAACCCTTTGTGACATGGTGTCCTCAACTGTGCCCCATGTGGTCTGTGCTTGTGAGCACAGCATGTAGCTCAAAGTAAGCACTTTGTAAAAGTTACTTGTCATCACTAATGGCTACAAGTTTTGGTGTTGCACACACACTTTGAGGATTTTAATGAGTCAGTACAGGTGACCTAAGCGTTGCAGAATTCAGGTTCTAGCCTGTATTGAGCTCTCATGATAGGATGCCAGGGAGTTCCTACTGGTCAGTAATGTGAATAGCACATGTTTAGTGAGTGCGCTGTACTCATTGGCAAGTGTGAGACTGGGAGACCTCCTCACACTACTTAACCACCCCCTTTCATGGGCCCTGTCTCAGACTGTCATGAGAATTGCATGAGTCTCTGCATGTCAAGTGCTTAGAACAGCCTGGCACAGAGCACGTGTGCAAGAGCTATGCACTAGCGTAGTACACAAGGCTTCCGGCTTTAAACATGAGGAGAGGGTGGTGGCCACACAGGCTAGTGCCGATACCTGTCTGACAGCCATTCAGGCTTCAGAGGTAGTTTTGTGAGCTTTGAAGGCAACTACAGCCTGTTAGGGCTATGCAGGGAGTCACAGGTTTTGTTCAACATGGCAATCCATGGTTTGTGTCTTTTTATGATTGAACTTTTGCTCTGGGCTCACAACAGCCCTGTGAGGTGTAGGAAAGAGTTTATAGCATCTTCTTTTAGTGAACGGAGAAGCTGAGACAGCACAGTCAAATGACTTTGCACAACCCAGAAGCAATGGAGCTGAGTGGGTTTCTAGGCCTGTCTGCCTTGTCCGTGCCCCCTCCAGGTACTGGGATGATGAGGATAGTGTCAGGACCTTACTCAGCTTGGTTATTGGGCTGGGCATAATTGGGTTAATTGTTTTGGAAGCAAAGGTGACTCTTGGGCCACCTTGGGCCACCGAGGTTTGCAGGCCTTTGACCCATCTCCTCCTAGTGTTTCCACCCCTCCTTCTCCCAGCCTTGCTGCTTTTGTCACTGAGGCAAACAGTGGTCCCTTGTTCTCTCCAAATTCTGAACCTTGAATGCTGCACAAAACAGGATCCAGCATTCGTTTCACAGGATGGCGTGACTTGGAAACGAAGCGCCCACAGACCTCCTCTGGCCTCAGTGGAAAGCCCTTTCATCGAGACCCGTGTACCACTTGCTGAGAGGGACAAGTCAGACCCCTTCTGCAGAAGAGAACAAGAAGTCCCTGGGAATGTTCTCTCTTGTGGGGGCAGAGTGCAGTCAGAAAAACAGAATGACAAGGTTGTACTGAGTTAATATATGCTCAGGCACCCATCCCTACCCCATCTGGGAAACCATACATTGCTGTGACCTCTCTTCTGAGACTTCCCTCCCTTTATTGTCCCCTCCCTTGGCTATCCCCTCCACTGCCATGTCCTGTTCCCTCTCCTAAAGGCCCCACCTCCTCTGCAGCATCCCTGGCCTCAGGAGCCCACCCGCTTTCCCATGATGCAATAGGCTTCTTCTTGCAGCCAGTGGGGAAGAGTCTGAGACTCCTTTGAGGTGTTTTCTGGGAAATAGGCCACCAGCAGCCCTTCTTGTGCCCTACAAAGATGCTGCAGCAGGAGGTGACCACATGGGAGACACACCAGGCCCAAAGCATGTCCCAAGTTGCTGTTCTCATGAAAGGGCTTTACTGGCATAAAAATGCTTGGAAAATACACAAAGGAAGGTGGCTGGCTTCCAGAACTCAACTGTTTACCTTCAGTGGAGCAGCCAGGAACGTGGGGAGCTTATTTTCCAAACAGCTCATGGTTGTCAGGTCTACAGACCTTGGGCTGATGCCAGGGGCATCCCTTTTGCCCACCTTTCCCCCTAGTCCTTACGGGACCTCTGGCTCCTCATGCTGCAGGGAAACTGGAGGGTTCTTTGGAGATGTGGGAATGGGTGTGGTAGTTCTGCCCAGCCCCAGGGAGTGTGCTTAGCATCACTCGTGGGACCCAATTCTCTCTTTGTAGCTATCTTGGTATGAAAAATTGGCGTCTTATTTGTGGTAGCTGTCATAATGGAGTACAGCAGAAATGGGCTATAGACTGTGGCCCCATGAAAGTCCCCTGTCCTTTCTTCCTCCTGGCTTCACTACCTGCCTTCAAATTTTGCTTTTTGGGGATGAAGGGGTTGGATGGGAATGTAATGTGGAACTTTTAGATAGAGCCAGGAAAGCCCTTGCAGTTTCTTTCTTCGCTAGAGGGGAAACTGAGGCCAGGGGCATGATGAGCAAGGGTCAGCTGGTGGCTTAGTGTAGGCTGACACTGGGCATTGCTACCCATCCTCTGTCCACTTCCATCTCATGGCTTTGTTGTCTGTTTTCCTTTTTGGGTGTTTGGTGTCCTGATTCTGGAAGGTGGGAAGGGTGTCCCTGGTTCCTGGACTTACTGTGAGGATGAACGCGTGCTCAGGTCTCAGAAGACACTTGAGACTCGTCCCTTTCCTTCCTTGTCTTCCTTGTCCAGAAGCCCCAGGAGAGATGGTCAACATCTTGGCTGTCTGGGTCTCGCTTTATTTTGTTTGGTTTTGTTTTGTATACAAGCTTGTCACCATGGGAGGAAAGTGTATTCTTCAGTATTTTCTTACTGTGAGGTCTCTGGGATTTTTTTTTTTTTTTTCCTAAATAGGGGTGATCCCTTAACATCTTTCCTGGCAGACAGTAAAAAAGAAGAGTTTAGGGTATCAGCAGGAACAAGCTGGTACATTCCAAAGGTTTATCTGAAAAGAGTTAAAATAAGACTATGTGACAGGTGTGGGCAGGCCTGAGGGGCCAACAAGGAACAAGTGTGGCGATCTGTCTCCCTAGGCCTTAGGGAACAAGGGGACCAAAAATGTAACTGGAGCTATAGAGATAGCAGTAGCCTCTGAAGAGGAGCTGTGACTGCCACCAGAAATATGACAGAAGCCGGGGTGGGGCACATGAGGAAAATAAGTCTGTTGACCTCTTGTTCCTCCTTTCCATCTTTTGCTGGTGCCTCTGATTGTTCTGACTTGGACAAAGGACAAGGAAGCTGAATGGCTAAGGTTCTGGAGGACAGCGGCCCAGGACACAGAGCGGGCACTGGCAGAGAACAGAGGGTGGAGAGGGGGAGGGTGGATTGGACACCAGGCACTGATCAGGTCCCAGTTTGCATCCCAGCCCCACCACATCCTGTGGTTGAGATCCTAGGCAGGTTTCAGAAATCTCTGTTCCCACTCCCCTCATTTGTGAAATCATTTCCTAGAGTGATTGGAAGTAATGAAAGGAAACAAACACATGTAAGCTGTGAGCATGGTGCTGGCTCAAAACCATCATTTGTTTGTCATTTGATGTCTTCACTAACAACGCGGGAACATCCAGCTTTGAATCCTGCAGGGAGCTGCACTTGAGGGCAGAGATGAGGCAGGGCGGGGCCAATGGCCTTCTCCAGCCTTGACTGAGGCTGTGTGGGGGTCAGTCAGGTGTTGGGCTGGTGCCATGGCCTCCAAGGGACTGGCCTTGCAGGTGGTGATGGCCGAGTGCCTGCAGCAGACATCTGGCAGGTCAGGAAGCGTGGTGACAGGCTGCTCTGGCTGTTGGCAGGGGCTCCTGGTTTGGGGTCAGGTGTTGCCGACTCTCAGCCGGCGGCTCTGGCTCCCTTGGGGCCTGATCTTTTAAACCTCATAGTCTTGAAAAAATAAACACATTCCCCAGTGGAGTGGGATGAGCACAGACCACAGACAGCCTGTGCTCCTCTGCTGCCATGATGAGCCGAGGCTTCAGTGTGAAGTGCAAATGGCAGGTTTTCAAGGCAGCTACTCTTAGGTTTGCCAGCACCACTGCTGTGCTGAGACTTTGTATAGTCTCTTGGAAAAACTGTCAGCTTAGATTTGAGTTCTGATCTGGCTTTGTGATTTCAGTCATTTCACTTAACCTCTCTGAGCCCTAGTTTCCCTAGGTTGTTGGTCAGATGATATGTGCTCATGGTGTGCTTTCTCTATGCAACCAGTTCATAGCATTCTTGCTTGTGTGATTTCTGCCCCTGGGTGGCATAGGGATTGGGGCTTAGAATTGCAAAAGTGGGGTCTGTCCTAGAGGCGTTAGTAGGAGTGACAAGTTGGGGGGCCTCAGGGCTTGTTTTGTGGTGGAGGGAAGTAGAAAGGGCAGTACACTCTGCTGAAGTTGACACTCCTGTGTGTTTCTGCCCTGCAGCTGAACCTCAACCGGCCAATCGAGGAGCAGGGTCCCCTGGATGTTATCATCCACAAGCTGACTGATGTCATCCTTGAGGCTGACCAGAATGACAGCCAGTCCCTGGAGCTGGTGCATAGATTCCAGGTGAGTGAAGATGGTACCTTCTGGCTGTGGGGTCTGGGGGAGAGAGGGAAGGGCCAGGCCTGGCTGTGCGCATTTTAGAGCTGCTGTAGCAGCTCCCTCACTGTGTCACCCACAGGAGTGACTCTGCCACTGGCAGGATGCAGTTCTACAGGCAGATGTTCCCTGTGAGTCAGCCCTCTTGGGTGTAATATGGGGACTATCTTAGGCACCCCCTGCCTTGTAGACATGGCTCCTGATTAGAGCTCTGTCTAGTCAAGATGTGGCCTCCAGGTCCCCAGCACAGGCATGCTCAGCCCTGAGCATCAGCTCTGCCTTGGCTGTGGGATGTGACCTATTTGCTACACCTGGAGCCCGAGACCCTGAGAGCCTTTGCACTAAGTCCTGCGGTGGTGGAGAAGCTCCTCTGCTCTTCACTTGGACCCACTGTGCCCCTTGTTGAACACGGCTTGAAATGTGTTGTACATCATCCCATGGGCTGTTACCTGCTCCCCATCCATTTCTCTAGTAGCATCCGGGTCCTGGCCCCAGGGTGTTTTGTCCACTGCCTTGAGGTTTTCACTTCGGGCAGCTGTTGACTTGGCCTGGTTGCTCTCTTGTGGACAGATGTGATATTTCCCTCTGGATAGCAGTTCAGGGGTTATGAAACACAAAGCCATATTATCAGTGAGAATGTAGCCCAAATGGTGGCTGTTCCCAGCCTCCTGGTAGGACTCCTGTGCTTGGATGAGCACTTTTCACTTGTGGCGACTGGACTGCTCCCTATCAGGAGTCACACAGTAGCCATGCTGCTGGCTGTTTCCTTTTCCCACATGTTCACTATTGGTGGCCTCAGCCTCCTCACTTCCCTGCAGTGGGTAGGGTGGGGCAGAGGTTGTCCCCATGAAATGCTATCCTGGGCCACTGTCCTGGACCTCTGCTCTGCCAGTGAACTGAAGTTCCTCCCACTTGCTGGGCCTTCTCTCTCAGTACTGAGGCCATGGGGAAGGTGGTCCTAGCCTCCACAACCTTGTGGAGACTCAATTTTATGTTTGTAAAACCTGTGCCCATCACAGGAAAACCCAGTCTGCTAGGAGGAGCAGATGGGCAGTGAGGTAAAGCACTCACCCTGTGCTCAGCCACAGTGAGTGCTTACTTCAGGGCTGTGGTGAGTTCATCCTGTGCATCCAAAGCTGTCCCAGTCCTTGTGGGGGGAGCACAGAAAAGATCAGAAATGTTTACCATGTTGATTTGCTGTTTGTCCAGCTCTTTCCCCATGACTGAGCCGGGCTGAGAAGCATGCACCCTGTGCTCACTGAATCTGCAGCCCTCGGGGGAAGAATTCACCCACCTAGTCTTTATACCCAGGAAACAGGCTTGGAAGCACATGCAGTGTGTCCACAGGGACCTGACAAAGCCAGGGCTTAATTTTGACTTTCTCAGGAGACCCAATGCTCATTGCCATAGGGGTGACTCTTTTGCCACTTCTCAAGCCCAAACCTACCTCCACTATCCTGTGGAGCAGCCCCCACTGGTTTTCTTTCCCACTCCTGAGACATTCATAACTGCCTCATCCCTAGTTTCTTATGTCCTCTGGAAGGCCTCCAGGTATCCAGTTCATGTTCCCCAGGACCTATGTGACATTCTCTGGGGAGTGCAGCTGAGCCCGGGCAGCTGCACAGACCTTTGGGGCAGAGATTCCTGCAGGACCTGTAGAGGATGGTGGCCTTGCTCTGGGAAGGCTGGGCACTGTGCAATGAGAGTAATCATTACTACAGCAGGAAGCATTTGCAGAGTAGTCATCATGTGCAAGTACTTTATAAATATTAACTCTTTGGCTCGCTGAGCAATAAGGTGTTCTCATTTCCCCTGCATAGGTGAGGAAGCAGGGATGGATAGGTTGGGAAGCTTGCTCAAGTATCCACAGTTAGCAAGTGGTCAAGTGGGATTTGAACCTGTGCTTGGTGGACTTTGCTCTCCCTGCCTGCCCTCCCATCTCTCCAGAGGCAGGTGAGAGGTAGGGCTCTGGAATCAAAGTGCTTGGGAGGCTGATCAGGCCTCTCAATCTGTAGGCCCTGTGACCCCAAGTGGCAGTTTCTTTGTCAGTAGGATAGGTGCTGGTAATGCCTCCTTTTTGGGGCAGGCAGCTGCTGGGAGGAGTAAGTGCCCCTGTGTGTGAAATGGCAGACATGTGCAGAGTGCTTGCCTTCCTCCTGCTATGACTTCCAGTACGGACACAATGGTTCCAGTTCCTCCTGTTAGTTCCATCTTTCTGTAAAGTCACAGCCCTCAGCTAGCCTCACACCCTAGTTTCACAGCTGCTACCTCCAAGGGAGTACCCTCATCCTCAACTCCCAGAACCAGCACTGAGCCCTCAAGCCAGGGCAGGTGACTGCTGAATAGTGGAGAGCTGCTTTGCATGTTCCTGCTCAGGCAGAAAAGAGTCATTACAGGGAGCACCGTAGTGGGAACATGGTTCTTAAGGTTGCCAGCCACTGGGTACGTTTCCCAGAGAGGGTCTTGACTGGATCCTGGGGTCTGCCCCATTCAGGGCACACACCCAGCTGGTCCCCAGCCCAGGCAAGTGATATAGCCTGGCACTTCCACGATAAATTTTTCACTGTAGTCTGTTTCAGCAGAAACCCAGATATCTGAAGCCAGGAACTTTCCTCTTTTGCAAAGAAAGCAAGCCTTTGGGGAAAAGAGTTACCAGGCTGTGCCTTCCAGATGTCCCAGGAGGAGAACAGAGGGCTGGGTTGGACTGGGGTTGGACCAAGGAGCTCTAGAGTGTAGGCTGGGGACAAGGCTTCCCTCTGCTACAGGGCAAAGTGCCATGAGCACCGACCTGGTCATCTCTCTCTGCCACATATGTGTAGCTCAACCTTGGCTGTGCCCTTTGTTTTCAGATTCTTGTTTTAATTTTTATCCTTTGGACATTAGTAAGGAAGCATTGGCATGATTTGGGGACTGGGAGGGACAGGGATACTACATAGGCATGTCCATTTCAGAGTCAGGAAGCAGAATCCAGGGTTTGGTTGGCTCATTAGCCCTTCCTGCATTTTGTTGTGAGCAGTGAAACTACAGGTGGTTTGGAGCTTGTTGTAGCCTGAAGGCCCTTCTATGAGAATGGTTTTGGGCTGTGTGTTTGGGAGAAAGATGGTTTTCCTTCTCCCTCCCTCCCTCCCTCCTTCCCTCCCTTGCTCCTTTCCTCTCTCCCTCCCTTTTACTTTTTTTTTTTTTTCAGTACTGGGAATCAAACTCAGGACCTTGTTACATCCCCTCATCTGAGAAAGATGAGTTTTTGAGATGTTTCTCACAGCCTCAGAACACTCCACTGTGGAGGGCTTCCATAAACCTCTGGTCCCCCAGGGGTAGGAAAGAATTCTGAGCTGATGACAGCTTCCTGGCTTCCAGGTGGACAGGTTGAAGGGTGTAGGCCTGGTGTGCATTGCAGGTCAGGCAGGCTGGTTGTCATAGAAACTACCCCCAGCTGCTTTTTCCTCTTGGATTAGCCTCACAATGGAGGATCATTGGGATGATTCAGTTGTTTTTCTGCTCCAACGGCCATGTGGATCCAGCAGCCTGGTGCCGCTGTGGCTCTGCCTCAGACTTGGTTATCAGTGTACAGACCTGGGCAAAGGTTCTTTGGGTCTTGCCCACATAGGGCTGGGTGGTGGCCCCTGTCACAGGGACCCTAGAGGCCTTCTGGCCTTTTCTTTTGGGGAGCAGCCTTCTCTCTGTGGTTCCTGGTACCACCTGTTGAGTGTGGTTGTAAGGTGGGAGGAGGTAGCCCACCTCCTTTGTTGTACATAGGGACCCCAGAATTACCCTAGAAGTTTTACTAGGCATGTGGATCTTTCTGAGGTTCTCCCTGAATGAGCTTTGTGGAAGGAAGTATGAGTCTCAACTGATAACCCTTCCCCATCTGGTGAGCCAATATTCCTGGACCCCCAGTGTAAGCGGGGTCTACGAGGACTGTTTCCTCCACAGTGGCTTGCGTTTGCTGAGCCCTGGTTCACATGGGCTCCCAGCTGGCGGGGGTGGGGGGGAGGCCAGTAGCACACTGGGAACTGCTTACAGTCCCCAGGGTGATGAATGAGGGGAAATACAGCTCTCATTGCAGCACATGCTGCCACACTTTCTCTATGTGGTGACATTAAAGACCGGGATTGTTAACATGGCCTGTGAGCCTGCAGTGACCTGGTCTCTGCGTCTCCCCCGCCTCATTGTGTGCCACCTCCACTTTTTTGCTGTGATGGCTCTCCCCCAGCGGCTGCTTAAGCCCGCCTCTTGCCCACCCCAGTGCCCTTGCACAAGCAGTTCCTTCATCCCAGGTGTCCCTTCCTAAGGAGTGTTGTCCCTAGTGTCAGACACAGCTCTGGTCCTCAGCCTTCCTTACTTGCACCTTTCCTTCCTTCGATTTGGAAGTTCATAATTCCTTTTCAGTTGCTATTATCTGTCCCATACTAGGACAGGGAATACATATGCTCCCAGCATTCAGTTTTCCCCCTGCTGCCCTTGGTGTCTGTATGTTTTCAGTAGAAGTGGGGGCTTAGTGGGGGCTGACCTTGTGCTTTGCCAGTGGCTGCTGGGAGCCTTGTGTTGGGGTTTTCTAGAAGAAGGCCAGAAAGGTTGACAAGACAGGTAGTGCTCTCTGGAGGGTATGTGGGTATGTCCCAGGAGCTGAGGGGCTGTGGAGCTTGGACTTTCTCCTGCAGAGGGACTAGGGTCAGGCCTGTGGTGTTAGGTGCAAGTTAGTTGGCAGAGAGGCCCTGCTCAGAGGGGGCATTGCCAGCTCAAGATGAGCTCTGTGAGGTCCAGGACTCTTGCTGGTCCCCAAGCCAAAGAGGAAGTTCATACCCTGGAGGCCCAGCGGAACCCTGTCCTCAGCCCTGGTGTTCTGTGGTCCTGAGTGTTTGCTCCTTCAGCTTCTCTGACAGGACAAAGCTTCCCTCTAGGTAATTGTGAGTGTTCACTGTGTAAGGTGGGTCTGGGAAGAGAGTGATTTACCTGTGCCCAAGGAT